GTTGCTATAGCGACTCCCGCGCGCTGGGTGGAAGCGGGCGCTGCCTCCCGGCCTGAGGGGAGCGGCCATGTTCCCGCCCGCCGCCCGCACGTCCCTCCGCGGTCCCCGCCGTAACGGCGCTCTCGCCGTCCCGCAGGAGGAGGAGGGAGACGGAAGGTTTCGGAGAAGAGGCCAGGGAGCCAACGACAGGTAACCGAGCTGGGAGCGCAGAGCTGCGTGGTGGCGAGGGCTTCTCGCCTCAAAACTATAGAGACGCTCCCTGAAAAGAGCGTTTTCTGCAGGAAATTCTTGTTTAAAGCATTTTTCGAGGCACCAAAGTATAAGTTTGTCCTGTTTTGTTCAGTTGTGAATTGGCCTGTGGCTGGAACAACCGATTTGCTAAATTGCAACTTAAAATTTCACTTGTTATTTGCATTTAGGTACCACAGTGGAAACTTAGCCCAGATCTATGATTTGAGAAGAAACATAATGTATGTTTTTTCATTTTTGAACTTAGGTACCTGTGCTACAGAGGTAATACCATGCTTGCAATGTGATTGCCATATTAATGTTTATGCACCCATACTCCTTCTTTGTATCTTGCAAAGGGGTTACCTCTTTTTATCACATATTTTCCTAGAAGCTCATGGTAGAGATGTGCTGTCGTACGTGTCATTGCTGCCTAAAATTTCTATTTTATTTGTTTTTGTTCTGAATTCTATTATATTCTGTGTTAAACTAAGATTTGCTTGTGTTTTTTACTCATTGTTGAAAATGTGAATTATTGACATATGAGACATTTTTCACATTGAAGGTTTCTTCTCCTGATTTCCAGGTGACAATATCAGAGAGTTCTTGCTGAGTCTCAGATATTTTCGAATCTTCATTGCCTTGTGGAACATCTTCATGATGTTCTGCATGATTGTGTAAGTAGAGCTGGGCAGCATTGTCATTTATTTATCCAAAGTTATATACTTTGGGGGGTGGAGGGATTTAATGGCACAAGTTTTCTGATTTTTCTCTCCCTACTTGTTCCTTAGCTGCTTTACATTTTACTTATGTCTACTTAGATCTTCAAAGACTTGTTGGCTGACCTCATAATTTTTTGCTAATGCAAAACTGTAGTACACAAAAATCTTTGCTGTGCTGTAAATCGCTTACCCTTAGTTATAGGGTTCCTTATTGCGTGTTGCTTAGATACATTGCTATTTTCATAAACATTTCAGTGTAACTTTTGCCATGCTTTTATTTTTTGCGGGTCCCTAAATAGTAGAACGAACTGAGCTTTGGAAATAGTCTCTGGAGACCATGGATTTAAGTCCTGATAGGCAGTATGGGAGGGCAGAACTGGTGGCCAGGTGTATGCTAGAGTTTCACCCTTTTGGAATGGCATTGCCATGGCTATTAATGGTTGTACTCAATTCTCATCTATTTCTTTTTTTCTGTTGTGTCTACTAGGTTATTTGGATCTTGAAAATCGTCCACAAACATGTCTGATAACTCGGAAGAGACTTTTTTGGCTGGAAACCTAACTTTTCTATAAAGTAAAAGACCATAATGCTTTCAAAATATTGCCCTGGGATTGTGGCTTGTTTTTCAGTACAAGCCCTAAGATGTTAAAGGGAAAGGACACGTTCATCCTCTTCAGCCAGTTGTATATTTACACAGCTTATGCTGGTTTGCTTGCTGTGTGGGGCACAGTCTTCGAGGTAGAATCATTTCAACATTACAGAAATGAAAAGAACTTTAAAATGTTCTGCTAGTCTTAAGATTGTGGTGCTTAGGACTCTGTAGAATTGCAGCATGACAGAAAACTACAACCCTAGCAACTGTGTATTGTTGGTCATTTGCAGCTCCTGATATGTCTGCTGATGTGATTGTCTAGGTTAATTGAAATCTCACTTTATTCTCCTTTTTATAAACTCGAGCAAAGTATTATAATGTTTTAAGTTCAAAACAACTTCCATTTTTTTCTTCACCATTCCATTTAGTTTGTTGAATATACAAGTATGTTGAAAAAATGTAGTCCTCTATTTTTTTCCAACAAAATGCTTTTTTAAAATAAGCTTTCAAAGATTAATGTCTTTTCCTAAACAAAAGTGGGGGGGAATCCTTCGAGAGAGGTTTGTAATGTACAGGAGTATTTTCAATCTTCAGCTAAATTACAGAAGATGTGTACAATTTTTGTGTTTTATGTTTTAATGTTTTTCTGATGTATTTGTAATGAGCGAAAAAAAGAGCAATGTGCTGTTCTTGCTGTGGTATCTGTGAGATGGCATCCAAGCAAATCCGTGGTTTTATATGATCCTTGGAATGCATTTTCTCCCTAATGTTCTTTAAACTGAGCCTTCCTCAGTGAGAATTAAGTGGTAGGAAGAAGTTTTTATTAACTTTATGCCTAAACCACTAGAGGGCCCCTACGGTCAGCAGAGAAGCGTTCGGGTCTCATTTTCAGGTTTTAAATCTTAACTCAGAAAACGTTGCTGCTCTTTGGAATTGACATTCTGCTCTGAGTGGTGTTTTGAATATGGCAAATGCAGGGAACGGAAGATGATCAAACTCTCCTGGTAAAGGAACGTGGACAATTTTATAGCTCCAAAGAGATAATGCAGATTCATGCAGTGCTGCCACCTCAGGGTTTCAGTTGCTCCAAAGAACCCATGTTCAGAGGCGACGCCGTTCGTTCCCTTCCATCCAGGTGCTTTAGAAGCGGCTGGGGCTGCTCGCCAGGTGTCACACGGGTGTCGTGTTTTCCTTCCTGTACATTTCTGCGCTCCCGATTTCCTTTTTGCCTGTGCTCCTTTCAAATGAAGGAGAGACAAGTCGCATTCCTCTCCGAAAAGGGCTGTGTTTGTTCAGCTTGGACAGGCTCAGTCCTTTCCCGGCACCGAGGGGAGCTGACCCGCACGCAGGCTGTGCGTAACCGGAAAGCCGCCTCGGGCGCTGCTTTGAAAATGCTGAAAACCTGCAGTTTCTCTATGAGGAGAGGAAACACAAGACACCCTTAGGAAGGGTTAAGAAGTAGAAACCGTTTCAGAACAGCTGACTTTTCATATATATATATATATATTTTAAAAGAGC